TGCCCAGCTCTGGGTTTTTGTTTTTGGGTTTTTTTTTTTCCTCCCCAACCTCCACCTCAGTGATCGGGGATTGGCCAGGAGTTCAGCTCAGCCTAAGCTACCTGGAACATTGGACCCTCTCCTCCCCAACTCCTCACTACTCCCCCACTCCCATTTCCACTCTGCCTGTAGGCTTGGGGACCCTGCCCCCAGATGCTCCGCCACTTTTTCCAGACTCTCTTACCTATAGACTCCACGGATGCCATAGTAGAGAAACATGAAGATGAGGAATTCCCCATACAGCAGCTTGTAGATGCTGCCTCGCCAGCACAGGAGCAGGCAGGAGAAGGAACCGAGACGGGCATTTGCTACTTTGTTTGTGTAGGTGACAGTCATGGCTTGTCACTGGGCAGCAGTAGGTGGACTTGGGTCCTGGTCATCAGGCAGAGGGAGACATGGGCATGGGTAGTAATCAAACACTAAGTTCTGGCCTGGGACTCGTATGAGTTTAGTCCTGTCCTACCCCAGGCCTCTGTTTTCTAGCCTGGAACACAGAACAATTAGGCAGAAACACAAGAGGACACTGGGCAGGCTTGTGCCCCTGATTTTGTATAATGACAAGGGTGTCTGCAAGGGCAGCAGCAACATTCACACAGTGCTTAGGGTCTCAGAACAAGACGTCGTGAGTTCTCAGCCTGGTTTCCCAGCTTCCTCAACTACACAGGAGTGAGTAGCCCAGGGACCCAGGCTAGCCTGTTCGTGGCCGTGTCCCCATCCCTAGCACATGGCCTGGCAGGAGGAGTGTCCTACTAATGGGATGGTGAGCCCAGGACCTTTCTACCTGCTGATGTAAGCAGCTCGGGGGATGGATGCTTTTCCTAAGGTAACCCCATGGCTCACTTCCACTTAGGTCATCTAGGAAAAATGTCCCCAGTCATCCTACTGGAAATAATGCCTCCGTTGTCACCATCGGTGTCTTCCCAGTTTGCTCCATCCTTCTACCTGGTGTATGGCTCTACGGGAAGTCATGTGACACAGGACACTCCTGCTTACTGTTCGTTGTCTTCTCCCCCTGGAGGCTCCCAGTGTGTTCTTAGAGCAGATGCTCAATGCAAACTGACTAAAGCCATGACTGACACCCCCTTCCCACCCCACAGCGTCCCCCTCCCCCACACATGCTGCCAGCGTGTGCCCATCCCACCTGCACACACAAAAGCAGTCATCGCCCCTACAGGCCCCCAGAGCCCCAGCGCTGTCCACCTGGGGCAACCCCTACTCACAGGTGGGGGTCCGGCAGTTCAGGCAACCCCATAAAAGTTCTGGCCACTGGGGTAACGGGACTCTCTGAGACCCTGAGGCAGGTACCCCTGCCCATACTTGGAGGCTGGCACTGCCCACCTATGTGTGTGCTGAGTTGTCACCTGACGTTCTAAGCCAAAGCTTTCACAAAGGAGGCCTTGTCTCAGCCCCTCCTCTAATCCACTTGGAGCAGCAGCCCGTGCCGCCTGGGCAGTGTTCCTCTAATTCCTTCCTGGGGGCCTTGAGCTAAGACAGGGCTGGAATGGGGGTCACACCCCCTCTTCCATAGCTCTAAACTTTAGAATCGAGATATCTGTGCCACCGCCGTTGTGTCCTGACACCTGAGGTCTTTCAGAGAAAGTTGGGGGCAGGACTGAGCTTCATCTAAGGTAACAGGAACTCAGGGGAAGGAGTCTTGTCCAGGCCTCAGGGGCCCCCTCCAGAAAGAATTACCACCCGCTGCCATGCGTCACTGGCTTCGAGGGACCTATGTGCTAGCGCTGACTGGGCCTCAGTGGCCCCATCTCAGAAGGATGTGTTGCTTTGGAATTTCATCAGCACAGTAAGTGACAGCAATCTGCACAGACTGGCGAGAAGCTCTTATTGGCTGCTGGTGACATCACAGGCTATGGTGGCTGTGATTGGTTGGCAGGTAGAAAATGAGAAGGTAGAGAGGCAGAGAAAGAGAAGGGGGACAGGAAGGCCCGGCGTGGTGACCCCGCGTGGTGGGAGAAAACTAACAACCTGTTGTTCGAGCTACCTAATCCAGACAGCCCGGGAGAAACAAAGGCCCAGGCCCCCAGGGGCAGCTGGGTGACATCTCACAGCTGGGCAGGCCTTAGCACACCAGGCCTTTCTGAAGACTCTTCTGAGCACCAGGCTAAGTTTACCAACAGGCTCGTCTCACACGAAGAGCACAGACTGTAAGGAGCACGGGCTCTCAGTCTTCGCTGACCGCAACAGTTGCCAAAACATTTACCAAACACGCAGCTTCTCCGTTCTTTCCCAGGAGGCTGATGCTGCGTCCTTGGAGATGTTGCATTTTTATCAAGCACTGCAAGAGTCTGTGATTTGGGTGGTCTTGGGAGCCACACTCTGGAAGCCCCAATTTACAGTTTGACCCTGAGCCTTCAAATAAAGCCACCCTCCTACTCCCTGCTTCTGTTCTCACCCCCACCCCCAACCTCTTCACTCCCTAAGGAGGTTGAGCTTGCAGGTGACTCTGGCCTGTGTAAGTCTCTGTCCAGAAACGGGCGGGGAACCAGCTATTTCACCATGACCCTGACTACTTTTCTAATCACAGCAGACAATAAAGCTGGTGTTATCCTGAGAGTCTGCTGAGACCCGGGACAACCTTGAAGGAAAGGCAGCCACCCCTCCCTCCCACCCTGACCCTGTCCTTAGTTGAACAGAGAAGGGACAGGACTGATGTGTGAGCCTGAGTTGTTCACCTGGAAAGAGGGTAAGAGGAAGTGCTGCCCTGTGGCAGGATGAGAGTGAGGGATGACAGACGAGTCAGGCCTGGGGAGGAGCTGCAGAGCGTGGCGCCTGTGCCCACCTGACAGGTGAAGACTTGCCTGGCCCGGGTGCTGGTTTGCAGTTGTAATGTATAGCCTGGGCTGAGAATCGCTGTGGACTCTTACCTTGCTTTCACACTTTCCCGAACATACTGACACTCGGAAGAGAGCTTACCACCTACTAGGTGGTTTTACACACACACACACACACACACACACACACACACACACACACACACACACACGATAAGATGCTCGCCGTGTATGCATGAGGATATATATGAGTTTGGATCTCCAGTACCTGCCCATGTAGGAAAGCAGGTAGGACAAGCCTCTATAACCCTGGTGCTGAGTGGTGTAGACAGCGGGATACCTGGAACTCACTGGCCGGCCATTGTAGCCTACGTGCACTCCAGGTTCAGTGAACAGACACTGTCTCAAAAAATGAGGCGGTGGCCAGGTGTGGTAGCACATGTCTCTGATTGCAGTACTTGGGAAGCAAAGGCAGGTTGATCTTTGTGAGTTCAAGGCCAGCATGGCCTACAGACTCAGTGCGAGGCCAACCATACACAGTGAGACCTTGTATCAAACAAACAAACAAACAAACAAACAAACAAACAAACAAGGCAGAGAGCCATGAGGCTGACAACCAGCAGTGACCACGGCCTCCACATGCATGTAAGTGTACACGCGTGTACATACTCCCCCTACATGTTTTATTTGAGGCATGTTCTCATGCAGCCCGGGAAAACTCTGAATTTGCTATGTAGCCCAGGAGGACCTTGAACTTCTAATGCCCCTGCCTCTACTTCCTGAGAGCCAAGATTACAGGTGTGAACCACCATACCTACTTTGTACAGTGCTGGGGATTCAGTGCAAGCACGCCTCCCACTGAAACACCGGCAGCCCAATAAATATGTATTTAAATTAAAGTTAAACATGTTCCTGGCACAGTGATGCTCACATTTTGTTTTAGATAAAAAAACAAAACAAAACTCTGCCATTGGTGAATTCCTGCATCTCTTATCGTCACCACTAGAGGGCACCATTGACTTGGTTCTTGCGGGAGAAGCCTGATCCAGCTATCCAGGTGTCCATGAAGACTTTGGAAAACTCTATTGTCTCCCTGACCATTACCAGCAGTTATTGAATCCTTTGAAAGAGCTGGGAGGTGCTGGATCCCTCCTTCCCTTTTCTGTGAAGCCCAGGCTCCTCGCCAGTAGCTCAGCAATCCCTACAGACTACACCTGGTGCTGCCCTGCCCATCCCAGATGTGCCAAGATGCCTCCAGAGACACTCTGTGAACAAGCTGCTCTGGACTTACTCCACTCTAGGCACACTCCAACACCAGACATGTTCTCCCACAGATCTCAGACACGAACATGTCTCCAGCAACCAAGCAGGCCTCAGGTAACAGTAAAGCCAAAGGCATACCTGGGTGCAGGAGCCCAGAATGATCCCCGCAAGGAGGGCACCCAACTCAGCCAAGACCCTTCTCTCTTACTCTCCATTCCACAAAGAAGTTACTCAACAAAACATCCCTGACGCCAGCATAGAATCCATTCTAACTTCTGCCTCTAAGAAGTCAGAGATGAGTGACAACTACAGAAGTATTAAAAACCTCCAGCAGAGAATGAGAGCCGCAATGCCCAAGAGACCAGGGAAGCCTACAGAGTGGGAGCACTGGAGTTGGGCCTTGAGACAGGAATAGGAGCTCACAGAGCTGAGATGTAAGCGCGTAAGAATGGCCCATAGCAAGTCTCGAAAGCATTGCTGGGGACAGTTGAATATAAGCTCTCAGGGGACACTGGAGCTCAATGCAGACCTTTTGACCAAAGCTACATCGCACCCAATAATCTAAGACTAGGACCTGGGACCATAAGTCTTCTGACTCTGGATCCTAGGTCCTTTCTGCCCCCAGCCATGACCTCTGCTGGGCTATCCATGACCTGAGGCTTACCTCTTAGGGTCTCTGTTGGGGTTGAAGGGAGGTCTGAGGAGTGGGAGGTGTGCAGAGAATACTTGGATGGTAGCAGAGCCCATGCTCTCCAGTCCCCTGATAGAGAGTCATGTCAGGGAGCAGGCAGAGCACAGCTGGGCTGACGGGTAAAGGTTCCAGACCCAGAACATTATAGCCTTCTCATCTAGGATCACCATGGTAACAGGAGCATCACAGAGGACCTGACCTCTGCCAGGCAAGTAGAAGAGGACCAGACTTGGCAGAGGGCAGTAGGCAGGAGGCCCTGGGGTGGGCCTGGTGGGCCTGGCTACTGTCTCTAGGCTCTGCATAGGGCGCCTGCCAGCCCACTCTCCTCCCCTGTGTCAATCACAGAATAAATAGGGCAGAGATCAAGAGAAGAAAGAGGTAGGTGAACACAGCTGGACAGGGAGACAGAGGACATACAGTGCCACTTCAGGGACAGGAAGGAAGACAGTCAACACCTCTTCCCTGACACCAGGCAGACCTGATTGCTAAAGCTCTTGGGGACACTGACACATAACTTTCAGAGGGACAATGGGAGGCAGGGAAAGGCTGGGACACAAGTCAGTCCAGTATCACCAAGCCATATCCGGCCAATAGCAATGAGATAGTACAGAATAGGCCCGAACTGACCCAAAAAGAGACAGGTGGTGAGAATTCAGCCAGTCTGGGGGAAGAGCTGGGATCCCTGAGCTGTGTTCTGCTTCATGGACCCCAGCCTGCGGAGACCAGCCAGGTGAGGCCCTACCCTACCCTACCTTTTCATCCCATCCCCACCTGGCTAGTGAATTTCTTTTAAAAATCAAGGCCCCTGCATTCTGAGAATGTACTGTAATGCTGAGCTAAGTAATTTCTTGTTTTTATGTTTATGGATGTTTTGCCTGCACGCTTATCTGTGTAATGCATGCATGCCTGGTACCCGTGGCAGCCAGAAGAGGCTAGAGGAGCACTTGAGACTTGAGTTATAGGTGGTTGTAATCCCCGTGTGGGTGCTAGGGATCAAAACTAGGTCCTCTAGAAGAATAGCCAGGGCTTTTTAACTAATGAGCCAGTTCTGCAGTCCGTGAGTTCTTGATGTAACTATGTAGTACATAGGCTAAGCTCCCAAGAAGGGGAGGGGTTCTAGAAGGCATAGCCTTTTCTCCAAGGGTTCTTTGGCTTCAGTGAATTGCTTTACCTGTCCATCTCCTCCTAGATCATAGACTCTGCATAGAAGCCCCTTCGCATGCACACCATACAGAAGTTTGTTAGAGATGCAGCACTCTCTGGTTCCATCTCAAAGCCCCTGAGTCACAATCTGCATTTTTTCAGTTATGTTTATTGGTTTGCATGTATGTGTGCTTGAATACCACAGTCCACACGCAGAGGTCAGAGGATAACTTTGGGAAGTTAGTTCTCTCCTTCCACCATGTGGGACCCAGGCCTCCAATCCAGTCTTGGCTGCAAGTGCTCTTACCAGCTGAGCCATCTTAACCGGGAATCTGCATTTTAAGCAGGTTCTCTAGCTGAGTCCAGTGTACAACCTAGGTTGAGAGGTTGAGAGGTTGGCTTCAGGTGCTGATGAGGGGAGTTTATTATTGTATACATCTCAAAGCACTGAATCCATTTGTTCATTTGTTTTTTAGGCAGCCCTTGAGCCTTATTTGTACCTGAAGATGACCTTAAACTCCCAATCTTCTTGCCTCCATCTCCCAAGTGCTGAGGTTGCAGGCCCAACTGTGGGTGCTGGGGATTGGACCCAGGGTCTCTTACATGCGAGGCAAGCACTCTGCCAACTGAACTACACTCCAGACCTCTTTACACTTAGTTGAGAATATTCTTGGACACATAAAACTTTAATTTTCGTGAATTTTGATCTTGCCAAATCTAAGGTCACTCCCTGTTTTCTTCTGAGAATTTTATGGTTTTAGCTCATACACTTAGGATTTGACATAGTTTTAGTTCATTTTTGCAGATGGTGTGAGGTAGAGGTCCAAGGGTTTATGCTGCATATGGATACCCAGCATGTCCAGGCAATCTTTGTTGGAAAGCTTTGCTTCCCTCATTGGATAGTTGTTAACGATCATTCTGTGACAGATGCGTCTATTTCTGGAGTCTCTGCTCCATTCCATTGATCTCTGTGTCTGTTCTGAGGCCAATACTACACTTGTTGTTTGTCTGGTTTAGTTTTTCTGTTTCTTTTGCATGTTCACGAATGTGTAATGTGTGTATGTGTGTGTGTGTGTAATATGTATGTATGTATGTGTAATATGTATGTGAGCATGAGTGTGTGCATGCATATTGAGGCCTTAGGCTGATGTCAGTGTCTTCCTCAATAGCTCACTGCTTCATTGACTTAGGCAGGATCTCTTGCTGAACTCAGAACTCGAAGATTCTGGCTAGTCTAGCTAGTCAACTTGTCACAGGGATACCCTGTCTTTGTCTCCCAAGTGTTAGAATGACAGGTGTGTGTTAAGTCTCAAACCCTGGGACACATGGCTGAGGTGCCTATTTAATACATCAAAGCTAACCTGACCATCAGGTTCTCCCAGCATCTCTCAGCCCCTAGCTGTTAGGGGGGTCCTACTGGTTTGAATACCCTCCCTCTACCCTGAACTCTGCAGCCTGTCAGGGGTGGGCTGGGATGCTCTTCCCTGTGTAATGCAAACATTTGGTTACCCACCACTTTAGTATCTTGGGGCCTCCTGGCTCCTGCACCTGGTTCCCCTTTCTCCTCTCTCCCTTCCATTAAACACCTTAAGTGCCATAATCAACTGATCTATGAAAAGGTTTGAAGACCATTATTTATTAAGTATATCTGATTTTAGGCTTAACCTTGAAAACACATACAGGAGGCTAAATAAAGTCTGTCATTACATGAATCACATAACAATTTACAAGTTAGTAGCTTTTTATAAGATTGTGATTTTATAGCTTTAACCCAATTAAATTTGAACTTTAAAAGTTTGAGTTGAAGATTTAATTGAAGATAAACTTTTACCATTCCAGAATATCAGCGTTTTGATCCAAATAGACAGATATTTCTGTGAACCTGAGCAGGACCTCGGGGACTTACAAATCTTATTTATCAAATATACCTTATTTATCAAGCATATGTTGTTATTTAGCTAAATTTTCTAGAGGCTTGATGCTGATCAGTTAGCAAAGACATAAGTAGTTATACATGCACCTTAAATCATCATTTGTTAATCTGAGTAGATTTCTGTCTTAGGTAGGATTTCTATTGCTGCAACAGAACACCATGACTGAAAAGCAAGTTGGGGAAGAAAGTGTTCATTTGGCTTACATTTCCTCTTCACTGTTTATCAACAAAGGAAGTCAGGACAGGAACTCAAACAGGCCAGGAACCTGGAGGCAGGAGCTGATGCAGAGGCCATGGAGGGTGCTACTTCCTGGCTTGTTTCCCATGACTTGCTCAGCCTGTTTTCTTACAGAACTCAGGACCACTAGCCCAGGGATGGTACCACCCACAGTGGGCTGGGTCCTCTCCCATCAATCATTAGTTAAGAAAATGCCCTATAGCTGGATCTTATGGAGGCCTTTTCTCAGTCTCTTTAAGATAACTCTATAGTTTGTCAAGTTGCCATAAGACTAGCCAGTAGAACTTCTGTAGTCTTAAGTTTTTAATCATCATGTATAGGCATCTCAGTCATTTGTCCTAGGGTTTGAGACGTAACAGCATGCATCACCAAGCCCTGTTGTATACAGTGGTAGGCGGTGGGTAGGCAAGATGTCTTGAAATCAAAAAGTGTGAGTTAGGCTCCAGGGGCAAGATGACCTAAGTTTAATCTCCAGAACCCCCAAGTGGAAGGAGAGAACTTATTCCCACAAATTGTCCTCTGATTGTCACACTTTCTCCATGGCATATGTGCACAAACCTTCCCTACCCCACGCCGCAGACCCCAAATAAGCAAATATAAAAGAGAAGTGTGGGTTCTCCGACTTTGGTTATTTAGGATGTGCTTTGGGTTCATGTCTGTTCTGTGATGAAACACCTGAGAGAAGTCCTTTCTGGGAGGAGGGATTTGTTTGGCTTATGATTCCATGTAACAGCCCATCGTTTCCAGGAAGTCAAGGTGGTCAGAATTTGAAGCAGCCGGTCATGTACACAGTCAGGAGTAGAGAGAGAAACGATTTGAGCCAACAGTTGAGCTCTCTTCATCTGCCTTTATGCAGTCCAGGACTCAAACCCAGGGACTGGTGTCTCCTACTTTCAGCCTGAGTCTTCTCACATCAGTTAATATAATCACAAGAATCCCTCACAGGCATGCCACAGGTCAACCTGACCACGGCAGTCCCTCCTGGAGACACTTCTGATGTGATTCTAGATTGTGTCAAGTTGACAATTTCAATGACCCGTTGCGAGGTGCCTTGAAATTCCTAGGGATTTTAGGATCTCCTTGTCATTTCTGAAGACTGACAGTTGGAATTATTGACAGGATGGTTTTGATTGTATAGGTCACTGTATCATGTATATCACATTCGTCTTCCTGTCTGTGAACATGGGATGTCTGTTCATTTACTTAGTTCTCTCTCATTCAACAGTATTTTGCAGTTTTCAATGTGAAAAAAATTTTTTTGAGACAGAGTGTCTCTGGCTGTCCTGGAACTAGTTCAACCAGGCTGGCCTCGAACCCGCAGAAGTGTGCCTGCCTTTGCTTCCCAAGTGCTGTTATTAAAGGCCTGCACCACCATGCCCAGCACAGTGTGTAGGTCTTATCTCTTGGTTAAAAATATTCTCTTTTTGTTCTTTTTTTTTTTTTTTGGTTTTTTGAGACAGGGTTTCTCTGTTGCTTTGGAGGCTGTCCTGGAACTCGCTTTGTAGACCAGGCTGGCCTCGAACTCACAGAGATCCGCCTGCCTCTGCTTCCCAAGTGCTGGGATTAAAGGCCTGCCCCACCAACGCCCGGCCTCTTTTTGTTCTTTAATAGTACTACAACCGGAATTGTTTGCTGACGTCACTTTTGGAATCTTGCAACAGATGGACATGTAACTGCTCTGTAGCTGTCCTTGTTTGTCAGTGTCATGTTTTTGTGTGTTCTGAGTCTTGTGCGTGCTAGACAAGCTGTCTACCACTGTGCTATATCCAAAACCCTTGGTCAGGTGTGGCAAATCTTTCTCTGTAGTGCAAGCTCCCAAATAATGACACAGAGACTTATTAATTATGAAAGTTCAGTTTTAGCTTAGGCTTGTCCCACTAACTCTTATAAATTCAATTAATATATTTATTTTATGTTCTGTCTTGTGGCGCATTACCTCAACTCTTTGTACTTCTCAAGATGCTTTCTCCATGTTTCTCTGGCAACCTGCCTTTCTTCTTCCCTGAGTCCTCTGTGCCTCCAGAAGGCCTGCCTAACCTCTTCCTGCCTTGCCATTGGCCACTCAACTCTTTATTAAACCAATCACAGTGACACATCTTCACACAGTGTAAAGTAATATTCTGCAACAGTCAGGCTGGCCTTGAACTTATGATCCTCTTACCTTATGCCACCACTCCAAGCAACAACTGATGTATTTTTCTTTTCTTTTGGCTTTCAAGATAGAGTTTCTCTGTGTAGCCTTAGATGTTCTGGAACTCTCTCTGTAGACCAGGCTGGCCTTAAACTCAGATCCATCTGCCTCTGCCTCCTGAGTTCTGGGATCAAAGGCATTCAACAATAGAATTTTATGTTTGTTCTTACATTTAGAAAATTCACTGAATTTATCTACAAGTATAACAGATTTTGTGTGACTTTT